TTAGCATCATGCACAGGTCCAAGCATGTGAGTCTCATGCCCTTTGGGTTCTTTCCAATGAAGACTGATACCTGGCTATTGGTACCCGCACACTTGGAGACACTAACATAAGTATATGGCAGGGAATAGGGAAGGGGAGTAAGATAGGTAGACCTTTCAACTGTAGGGCTTGCAATGGACTGCTTACTAAATAAGAGGTAAGCACCTAAACGACTTTATGGGTATGGACCCTAATTTATGTCACTTGTTTTTAGTAAAGTAAAATAGCAATGGGTGATCCACCTGTAAGCATACATTTTCCTTATTTGTCTACAGGGAAGTAGATTGAGACTTCACCAAAGTGAGTATGAGCACTTAAAATTGCAGGTCATAGGAATACTGTAGTCTCTATGTGAGACATGCAGCTGGGGCTGGCTGATATATCAAGTGTGCCCTCCAAACAATTCCCCATCACAGAGCATTTCAGCATTAGTCTCATCAAGATCTAGGATGTCTGGAGCTATTGCCTGGGACTAGCAGCTCACAGGTTACATTCGCTGTCATTCTTAACAATCAAGAGGCTTTTGCCCCTGTTTCCCCCAATTCTACCTCCATTGTGGGCCTCTTAAAAATCAAGCCTAACTACTTTTGTGAGTCTGGTCTTTAAATCCTATTTAGGTGTTCAGCTGCACTGGGATAGGACCTGGGTCACTAAAAGTCGTTTTAGATCTTGCCCCAGGCTACTGAATATGCCTGGTACTTGTGTCGGCAAGGTTCTTTGAGTAGATGTGATATCTTTTATTAGACCAAGTGAGTAGTTGGAGAAAAGTTCTTAGCAAGCTTTTGGGTGCAATCCAGCTACTCAGTTACATATGACATACAGCCTGACATCAATATAAATCACTTCACTCTGGGGTGAAGATAACCCTTAGAAAATGTGCAATAACTATATCTCAGTGTATGTTAGACCAGTGTAGTGATGGTGTTTCTGTTATAATATAAGAATGATGGAGTAGCCATGATGATCCAGAAATTACACACGAGGCAATGATGTCTTATGCTGGTATCTTTTACTGGACCAACTGTATTCCTAGGAAGAAGAATTTGGAAGGGTGATATGTAGGAACTACTAAAATTACAACTGAAGATTTGTTTTAGAAGTCAAGGATTGCCCTTATCTAAAGGCTTTGATTATATGGAAGCATAAAGGAACCCTCTTCCAGATGGGTCAGGCCAGGTCCACTTGTGAGGGTTAACAAGAAATAAGGGAGTCGTTGTTGAATCATTACCTGGGACCCAGGAATGTTAACTCCCAAACAGGCAGGAGAGACATTTAGTTTCCTCCCAGCTCTTACTAAAATAAAGTAGTTCTAGAGGCAGGGATCTGCTTTGGCTTCTGTTATTCAGAATCAGTGGAGGGCATAACTGATGCTAATAACAAAAGGAGATGGGGAAAATGAAAATGTCACAAACTAGAAATAATATTGAATTAATGGGCAACAGTATTTCTTCTTTATGCCAGCACCTTTTGTGAAAAATATGCAGATGACTCCTGCAGTCTCATCTCAGCGGAGTTGCATCTCAGATGCCAAAATAAAAAATGGCATGTTGGGCTTTGAGGGAGGGGCAGGGCTTTTCCTGAATGTAGTAGAGTAGTATGTCTATATGACTACTAGAGGATCAGGATAGTCCTTTCTAACTCTATGATCTAAATCTGATTGTGGAGGGGAAAAGTGACTTCTGATGCTGGACACTGGTTATCTCACAAATAGGCAAAAGCTGTGGCAAGACTGGTCAGAGTTTTGGGGCAGTTCAAAAACAATGCTATCCTGTTGTCCTTAGGTTTTGTGAACTACTGGGAAAGACTATAGCATGAGTTATTATAGCTCAATGACATTTGATCCAGTTATGAGTGTATTGTTATTTAAAATGTTTATTATGCTACTATCTTGGATCATGGCCAGGTTGTGCTAGTCACTGAAGAAATACAGAGCTAAAAGTTGGACCAACAGTGTCATCATTTCACTATTCAGGAGGCCATCAGCAGTGAGATTCTATGTGGTTGCTTCACTTCAGTGATTTAAAGGAAACTGCCAGAAGAATAAAAAATCATTTGCATTCAGCTCTTACTCAGATGTGACATTTTGTCACTTACAAAAATGCGGAGATAATGGTCCATATTTTTCTTTTCCAAATTCTAGTGCTGACCAAGTAATTCTCCAATCCTAATCCAGTTTGTATTGGGTGTTAATATATTGAACAACAGGGTGATAAAGTCAAGAATATCCTGCAGGTAAAATTCCATTGCTGCATTGATCTGTAAAAAATTAAGAACAGCGCCAAACACTGCAGTGCATTTCATTCAGTTAAATACAGTGCGCAATGCATGGAAATATCAAGTTTGGGATGTGATCCTGGGTTAAACCAGTCACTTGGCTGCACTTCATCTAGAAAGGTGAAAAATAATCTGTCAAGGATACTGGAGGAAACAGCTCTGCTCAAGACATGGTTGGGAGGAAGGAGTACAAGGTCAGTTCCCATGTGTAGCCTTGATTGGCTTGCTCATTTAGGTTTTTGTCATGTTCCAAATCCCCTTCTGCTTGAGAATAGCCTAGACTTCCTTCTAAGTATCTATTGCTTAAGCACTGAATTGGAATGTTTTTACTTTCCTATGTTTGAGGTAGGTTTTCCCTTCTATTTACTAATTGAATATTAGCTATCTCATTAACATCTTACTTGTTAATTTTGCTTATATTGTTTTTAATGTAAGAAATCATACAATGTAGGTATTTCCTAGGCTATAATTACTATTTGATAAGACTTGTGGGAGGTTGCACTGGAACCACTGTTTTTTCTATTTAAAGTGTTATCAACACACTGAACTCTTTCCTGTAAGATGTAATTTTAAAAATGTGTTTTCTATCTATAACAGTTCTTTATAACATGGGCTAATTTCTGCTAATTTGTTCGCAAGCAAGGAAAAAAATATCCAATAAGAAAGAGAACAGATTTCTCTCATTTTTTTTTCATAGTGGCTAAACTAGGCCTTGGACTATATATAAAGTAACCTGAATATCTTGAGTAGCTCTATTCAGGGACTAGAGAATAGTACTTTAAATGCATTAGAACTGCCAGTTAAAAGGCAATTAAAAAGTTTCTGAAGAAAAACCGAAGGTCTTGGTGAAACCTAAAGAAAGGTCTTGGTAAAATCTCTCTAAGTGCTTTTTCTTTATCAGCTCAGTCAGTGAATGACAATCTTAATTTCAACAGAGAAGGTGCCTTAACCTATATGGAGTCCTAATTAGATTGTGGTTAGTGTGCTCCTTCATAGCCCAGAATCAAATTGGCTTAGCCACCGGGAGATGAAACAGAAAAGGAGTGAAAGTGAGAAATCCTGTCCAAGGCTCCTCACAGACAAATGTTTGTAGTTTTATGTACGTGATCAGTGTCCACAAAGTCAATGAGGCTACTTTGGTTACTCATTTGTGTAAATGTCTGTGATATAAAGATAACATGGTCACAAAGCTATGGAGGGATTGGGGTTGGGGCGAAGGCATACTGAATTTAGTATAATTATTTGGTTTCTACCTTTGGTTCACTGTATGCCTTACCAAACTTAAGAGCGGAATGAAAAGTAAATAAGGAGTTTCCTCCTTTTAATTACAATTCATAATACAACCACTTGACATTCTTGACCCCATTTAATTTTTCATGGAGAAAGTATAGCATCTTCAGTGACACCAAAACCTGTTTAGACTTTTAAGCAAAAACATGAATTAATTTGGGGGGAGGGGAGTTGCTGCCCATTTTTAAAGGGATATTTTACATGCTTCAAGGATGGGAGGGTGTGCTTTTTCAGGAATACACAAGAAAAAAATCCTCTCTGGATTCTGACTTTAAACATCTGCTCTTTCCCAATTCCTATATCGCCAATTTAAGAGGTTCAGAAAAAAATGCAACAGGTCATAAAAGAAATAATATTTAGCAAACTGCAAACGGGTTTGTTCTGAGACCAGCTGATGGCCTTTATACAGAATAGGGGGCCAATTGTGCAAAACACTTCTGTGAGCTGAGTTACTTCTGTGCAGGTATCTCCAGGATTGGAACCTCAGAAGAGACACCTAAAGATTTTGCAAGTATGTTCTCTTCTGGGCTGACAAGGAAGCTGTTAATGAAATTGTAGATATGTTTCTAATATGTGAAACCACATTCACTACCTCAGCTTTTCCCTTTCCACTTCATCCATTTATTTTGCCTTGTCATTTGGTGATATATTAAAAATGCTTCTGACATCAGAGATGATGTGGAAAGTTTTCAAGAGCACCCAGTCTCTCTCACTGAAAGTTTATGGGTATAAACAAAGAGACGTCACGGCTTTCACAGATCCAGTTGTACTGTATTGTGTCCTGCAATAGAGAAATTGTGTGTTTACACATGCCCTTTTTAAAGTGGCTCTCATGTGTTGACACATAAAGCAGATGGCCTGAGAGTACATGCATCGCATGGCTGGAACTGGCCAAGAGGTCCCTCTTGGACATAGGTGGATTAATGTGTGGGACAGCTAGGCCTGGGCCCAGGAACTGGGGATTTTTGGGGGGTGGGGAAATACACACACTGACAGCATCTAGCATAAACTTTCCATCACACACCTTAAACCACATGAAGAAACCACACACCTGTTGCAATAAATGCACCCAGTTCCCTGTGCCCCTACATACCCCTCCCCCTGCCCTTTCCAGGCCTGGGCCCAGGAACTCCCCAGATACCTGGGGAGAAGGTGTTGCCAGTCATATGAGTTGTTCATTTTTGACCCAGTTTTCATTCACTCATAGGCCAGCCACAATGAGCAATACAAAACAAACAAGAAGAACCATTTAGATACCTATTTTGCATATATTGGGAATATTCAAATACCTACTCAAATAGGTCCTCCATAACTCACCAGTAAGTGAATGAGAACACCTCTGCAGCAGCAAGAGGGGAAGAGGTTCCTTTTCCTGCTGGAATCCAGCTCCTGGAAAAGAGAAGAGATGGCCTGTGATCCTCTTCTTGCCCAGTGCCCCAAAACATCTTAATCTGTTTATGTTTTTGAACCATGCTTGGTGTGCCTATTGGGTGTTCAAGGTGGGTGGGTGGGTGGCAAAATTTGTGGGAGGGATTGTGCCTGAATTTATGCTGTATTTGTCTAGTTGCACCAAAGCCCCATGATCACCATGGTGGTTTTCCCAGGGACAAGGGATAACCACCTTTCTGGTATGGGGGAGTACCTGTGGAGATAATGTATAGTTACCCTCTGATGTTCATTGCCTGTGGGAAGATCTTAGCTTTATGCCCACTTTATGGAAATGGGAGTGTAGTTTATTGTGTAGTAAGCATGTGCACATGTTTACTGTGCAGTAAACTTTGCTACTATCAAATACTGTCAAGTAAACTTGCTACCTGCAAATGCAAGTAGCAAATTTACTCTCAAATACTTAAGGTAAAGTAACGCATGTGTAGACAACAACTGGGAGCACATTTGCTCCTAGTACCCCTGCC